AAATGGAACCAAGTACTTTTGACAGAAAAATTAAAAGTATGACTTGAGTAATTCTCAGGAATAAGTAAGATCCCACTAATTAAAAGCTCACAGGTAGAAAAATGTGAGTTTTTACTTGAGAAGAGAGAACCTGGGCCTTTTACTCAAGAAGTACCTCCTAGAGGACTGATTCTTTGGGATTCATTTAATTGTACTCAGCTATTGAGCCATTTAGAGGTCACTACAGCCATGGTCCAAAGGGTCCTGACTATTGCTTTTGCTGAAGAAAACCTTTATGTCATCCATATGATGTTGATTTTACTAGCATGAAGAATGGAAGAGCTGAAAGTCACGAAGACTTCTACCCAGATTTAAAAGAAAGGCATTATATTGAATGTATTGTATTGTGTGTGGCACTAGGAATTGAACTCAGGGCCTTGTGCGTGCTAGGCATGCACTCTACCTGAGATGGCTCGGTGGTCTAAAGCACCTACTTAGAACAAACTTAGCAAAGCAAAGGGACCGCGGTTCAATCCCCCAGCACCACATGCCAGCCAGCCCCGCCCCCTGGTGGGCTGAGCTTGGCCCCACACACACACACACACATAAATAAATAAATAAAATTTTAAAAAATCCTTAAAAAATAAAAGAAAGGCAATGTGTCAACAGGAACAGAATTCTCCATGTCTTTTAAAAATGTTCTGGACATGGAAGCATAGGATTTAATGTTTTCCCTGCTTGATTCCAGTCTTTCTTTAATCATATTCTTGTCTATTCTCCTATCCCTTCCTTTAGGAATGGTAATATTTAACTTGTGCTTTGGTACTATGTAACTTGCTTTTGATTTTTTTCAGACATTCACAGCTAAGAGTTTGCTTTGAGCCTCAAAGAATATTTTGACTTGAGTTTCTCAGCAATTATGAAACTGTTGAGGCATTGAAGAAGGATTACTGTGTTTCAGTTATAGGTTTGAGAGTGGAATCATGTTAGATGCAATTAAGACCTTGCGTTGCTTTGGAGATTAAATACAGTTTAAAGAGATGTGTTTAAGTGTTAATTTGACAAGGTATGAAATGTGAAAATTTGATTTTTGTCAACCTGGCTGGCTTAGGAGCCATCTAGGGGATTAAGAAAACACCTATCTGAATGTGACTGGGAGGTCATGGAAACATGACATTGGGTACAATATATGCTTCTCAGCTGGCCAATTAAGCAGCTGTTTTGTGCCATGTACTTCCTCTATGATATTTCTTCCTTGGATTCAGTGATGTTGGACCAAATCTTCTCAAATGATGAGCCAGATTCTCTCTTCCTTTAAGTTGTAGCTGTCAGGTATTCAGTCTCACAATGGGAAAGCTGTCTTGTCCATGCCCTTAACATGTACCTCAGTAAGAACAGGTCTTCTTTGACCTTTCATAATTTTGTCCTTAGCATTGCTTTAATAAGTATGAAATTAAGTTACAAGATTTCATTTAAAGAAAAAGAAAACTGTGAGTAATACCTGAGTATTTATTATTATTTATTTATTTTATGTATTTGGTGCAGGGTCTCATTAAGCATCTCAAACTCATAGTAATCTTCCTGTGTTCCGCCTCCTAGGCACTGGGATTACAGGCATGTGCCACCATGCCTGGTCTTTGTGGCCTGCTCAGCATGCCTGGGGGCAGGGCCAGCATGGCCTGTGGTGCTGGGGATCGAACCCTGGTCCCTGAGCTTGCTGAGGCAAGCATTTACTTGCTGAGCCATCTCACTGGCTCAATATCTAAGTATTAAAAGAAAAATCATGAGCTTCTAGATGAAATAGGTTAACCATCTTCTAAGTCCCACCCTTCAATTGTTATACCATACAATATACACATAGCAAAGATTTTGAGGATTATCTGTGGTTGAGTCTTACATTACTTTGAGTCTTACAAACCGCTATCATCAGACCCAACATAATTTTCCAACAAGTTTGAGCACACATTGTTTGGCAGTGTGCTAGGTGCTGAAGTAATAAGTAAAAACAATAGCTATTTACAGGATACATATGCTTCTCTGCCTGAGTTTAAGCTTTATCACCATTATTTTTACTACCCAAATAAACTCTGTTGCACACATACTCAACCAACTTTCTTTATACTACAAGATGTCAGCTTTCATTATCATTTTTAATACTTTACTTTCTTTCATTGCATGAGTCACTTTGATCAGAGCAACTCTTTACACTGATTTAGTAGCTCAGGAACTCTCTCTTGATTCTGTTTTCCCAGTAAACAGAACTGTGGAACAGTTGTAATGGCTCAAAGACAGAAGGGGACTGGGCAATATACAGCTTCTAGAGTGGCATCTACCAACCCACAATTAGAAGAGGGGTCAATTCACAGGGTTGCAGGAAAGTTTAATTAAGTTCTGTATTGAACTGCTGAAACCAAGAAAGCCTACATTTTCCCTGCTAGTCTCAGTTACATTTTTAGTTGCTGAGACAAATACCTGACACCCAAAGTTACAGGAGGAAAAGTTTATTTAGCTCACAGTTTGTAGACATTTCAGTCCCTAATCAGCTGGCCCCAAGGCAGAGTGGCACATGATAGAGGGTAAACCACTCATGGTAGCTTAAGACAGTAAAAGCAGCAAGCAAGAAAGGGGAATAAACTTCTTTCTACCTCTTTCATGTAGAGTAAAGCCATTCCAACCAGTGGACTAATCCATCAATCACACAGCCTTAGTTGTTGTACTTTTACTCCAGGCATTAAACCATGAATCAATCATCACAAACTCTAGATTCAGAGACCTCAGAAATAACCCACATCCCATGTCTATATGAAGATTTGAGGAGACATCCAGACATAAACTGTAACACTGCTGTCAGATGGTAATCTATCTACCAGAGAAACTGGATGTGAATTTGGTGTTTTATGAGTATTCCTGGTGAGAATGACCCAGAAAGTCAACTGTTTTGACACTTTGAGCCAGGACCCCAACTATTCTTCTCTAGTACCATCCTTCAAAGTTTTTCTCAAGCTAGATTTTCTCTTAAAACATCGTCTCCATATTTGCCATTCCCAAATGCCTTTCCTTGTGTATTTCGGCATGTGCCAAATACTCTCCCATTGATGTTGGTTGGACTTTACTGGGTATTCATTAGAGTTCAATGCAGGGTTTTTACTTATTGTTTCGTTGGTTTTCAAGGGCATTGAGTAGTGAACAGGAGCTCATATTTGCTTACTTCTGTGTCAGTATTATAAATGTGACTTATGTACTCTATTTAGGGGAAATAATATATAGAGAATCTGGCCCTTTCAATTCATAATTAAAACCTATAAATGAATAACAACACAGGAATATTTTTTGATAAGTGCAAAGTTAGGCATTAGAAAGAGAAACCACTTAATGTTTCTTCATGGTGCTGTTTCACTCAGTATAGTTTGCTTCGAAATATTTACTACTCTGTGTGTTGTGTGTGTGTGTGTGTGTGTGCAGGCACACACCTGTGTATATTTCTTGCATTACCCTTGAAGGCTTTCTTTTTCAAGTAAAGTCTTTCAATTATTTATATTTTTGTTGGTGTTATCACTGCGTCTGTCTTGTTTCTTTCACTTGTGTATAAATCTTGTTTTCAGCAAACCAAATATAAAAACCTATCCCTGTAGACATAATAGAAACAGTTTTTTCTGGCTTTACTTCCTTCGACAGGATGGCTGGGACATTGCAACAGAGGAACGCTGTCATGACCTTTAATGTTTCTCTTTAATGAGGTGGAGTGTGGGAGGAACTGCAGAGAACTATATGCCAAATAACTCCCACTGAGAGCTCAGAACACATGAGTTCTGTAGTCTTTCAAGTTAGGTGATGCTATTCTGTTGACTATAAAATAATCTTATATTTATTTATTGCAAAAAGAGTTCTATAAGAAATGTGACTGGGGATTTAATCTGTAGTCTAGTGCTGAGGGAAGAAAACTTTAATGAGGGTTTCTTGGTCAATTGTCTCTTCCATGCCTTCAAAATGTTTGCAGTCACACAAGGTTAAGATAATGACCATCAGGCCATTCCATTCTTCACATCTCTGATCAGAGATAAATGAGAGTATGTTTCCCCGCTGTGCAAACATCCTTTTTATTAATACTGGGTGAACAAGAATGTAAGTACATTTTGCTTCAGAGAAAACTAACAGAATTGGAAATGTGCAGTATTAAGGCTCAGAGTCCAAGATCAAGCCTTCAAAGGAGAAGTTAATAAAAAGAAAAAGTATTGCAGAAGAAGCAGTAACATTGAAATGGAAATGGGCTGGCATATTGCAACTGCATTGTAACACCAGGGTATTGGCTGAGTGTGTCCAGTGGCCAGTGCAAGTTTTGCTCCTGAGAAAATAGATGGTCTCAGAAATGAAGGCTGCTCCTTCCCACTGTCTCCAAGGTGTAGTATTTAATCTGAGCTCATCTCAGCTGGTAAATTGCACTGCAGCTGCAAAGATTTGGCAATAGATCGGCTAATATCTTATAATACATTTATTCCTATATGTTGAAACTTAGCTGTTAAATTATTGCCTCCCCATTTATGTCTGTTTTCCCATTACAAGTCTAAAGAACATGAGGTCAGGTTCATGCCCCATGTACTTCCACAGCACCTACCCTAATTTCGTGCACATGGTAGGCATCCATATTTGCATGGCCGATCCAAGGTATCACATTGTGTTCAGGGCTCAGCTGGAGCTGCGGAACAAGGTTCTGTGTGTGCGCACTCACCATGGGTTACCTTAGTGGCTCGCAGTGAGGTTCTACTACAATGTAAAAAGTATAGAATTGTTTTAGTGCTCTGGGGAAAAGAAAATTCCTAAAAAGTCAGTTAAATATAGTGTGACTGCCTTTAAGTAAATGTTCTTGGGAATACATATATCAATATCTACTTGTGGGTAAAAAGCTGTCTCTGTATATGCATCTAAAGTAGCTAAATACACAAATGCATAGCTGTTAAGCATTCAGGCAAAGAAGCAGAAGTTTCGGAGGATTGTTCCAATTCTGAAAGAGTTGTCTTTCTCAGGAACAAAAGCACATGTAGCCAGTTTCTACTTTACTGCTCCAGCTTTCCTGCCCTAATGATCATCTTGGGCCCTGTGACAATGAGAAGGACTGTAGGCTCGGTGGATTCAGCACTGCGTCCAGACAAACAGGGGAATAGAGAGTATGATTATTTTTTTACATTATTTTTTAATTCATTTTAATGAGAAAAAGATAAAATAGCAGTGATACAGTTTCAAAACAGGTAAGACAGTTACAATAATTAATACATTGCATATTGTTGTCTTTGTATTCAGAGGACAAGATGCAGACATGGTATCTTATCTAAACAATATTAGTACAAAATTTTATTCTCAGTAAACTAAGCAGCTGTGTATCTATTCTAACTCTCTTGAATGTATGTATGTATGTATATATATATATATATATATATATATATATATGTATATGTATATATAGCAAAAAATGATCCTTTATTTACACTTTTGTGATACTAGGTTGCCTAGTAACTGATAGCTAACCTTAACCAGACAGGATGTTCATCTCAGGAATGAGTTAGCTTGTTTGCTTTAGGCACGGGGCCAGGTCCTACCTAAACATATTTTAGCGATTTCCTAGCTTCATGGCTCCCAATATATCCCCCTTTTGTTTTTGCTTTGTCTGAAGTGGATGTTCCACTGTGGTTAGAGAAGTTGTATTTGGAGAAGTCTTTAAAGGACCGTTTCATACTTGAAGCCAGTCTAAAGATTGTAGGTACTTGAATTCAGCAAAATAACCCAGTATAGTACAATAGTCCATAATACTAGTGGGTTATCAGCACAACTGGCAGTTGTCAGAAGTTTTTGACTTGAGCCTTTTACAGCTCAGTGGAATATAGATTTTTAATGAATACAATTCAGCCCATTTTCTACCCAGATTTTCTTGGAAGCTTCAGAAATTTCATTTCATTAGTGGCAAATGAGTTGAATCCCTCTATGGATCCATAAAAATGTATAGCTCCTGTTAAATAATACTGAACATGTTACCTTTGAGCAGAAGCTCTGATAACATACAAATTTGTACCTGAAACCATGGGTTTCCATGACAAAACTTTTAACAGGCATTGGCTTTCTGCGACTAAAGCGGTATGTTCGAAGTAGACCTTATAATTAGGGAAAGGTGCTATAATCAAGGGTCCATACATAGAAAGTTTGAGAGAAAAGGGACCATTTGATGGAGAATGGATCTTTGCTCTTTTGATTTTGCAAAGTACTAATAATGTTGGCTCAGCTTGGCAGCTAGGGGTTGAAATGTGACCAATATATATTAGCAAATATAATAGATTTTAAGGAGATATACGAAAAATAAATAAACAAAAAAGGTAAACTGTTCTTAAACAGAGCTTGCTTTGCATAAGTTCTCTAAATTGGACAACAGAATTCTACCTGATCATTCTTTTTATCCATTTATCTGTGATCCCTTTGTTCCTTTTTCTCTAGAAGTCTTTTCTCTCATCTCTTTATCTTATTCATTCTCTTAAAATATGCTTCTCATATAGTAAGATTTTCATGTCAAATGCCACATTTGCAAGAAAATGTTGAATTTTTAAAATACAATAAGCTGGTTGGCAGCCAGCGAAATAAAGCACAGCGGCTCAGGACAGAGCTTCTGAATCGCGCTCACATTCCCCAGTGTGAAGAGAAGCACCCAGGAGCCTGCGCCTTTGTAGACTTCTGCCAGTACATGGATAAGTAACAAAATAGAGACGGACTCTCCATGAGCAGTGTGATCTGCGAAGATGAGACGAAGCCCTGGGATCTGAGTGACTGTGAAACACCCCTAATGAACTCTCTCGCTCTGCTTCTTCCACGCTCCCTTCCAGAGCCAAGAGAACTACAAAGCAAGCCATGCGCTTGAAAGTACAGGGAGCAGGAGGAAGAAACACAAAAGTCCGAGGCTGAAAGGAGATTTTGAATTAGTGATGTGCTGCTGCATCCCCCATGAGGGGCGGGGCGGGGGTGGAGGTTCAATTCCTGGGGAAAGTGTTTTATTAAACACACCACACTCCTTTGCAGTGGCCTTCGTTAACTTTCTGTTTTGCTAATCTAGATCCTGGAAATAAACAGATCGAGTTTTCTATTTATCTACAAGTTATGTAAACAGCTACTGCAGGCCAGTGAGGCAAACAACAGGGTTATATTTGAAAAGTCTTGTAGTTATATTGAATCTGACAAAACACTCGTTGGTCACATTTAGTGGCTTACAAAACGTGAGCTTGAGGAAGGTGGGGTGGAAAGAAACGCATTCCAAATGAAAGATATGGCTCTAGTCTCTCTCTCTCTCTCTCTCTCTCTCTCTCTCTCTCTCTCTCTCTCTCTCTCCCCTCCACTCTCCCCTTCCCTTCCCATGTGTGCCTCTTTCTCCCCTAATTTAATTTGGTTTCTTTTCCAGAAGTCATTATACAAAGATAACATAATTAAGTAATTGGATCAGTTCAGGATGAAAATGTTTAAATAGACTGTCTAATCTCAGAAGAAAAAAATAAAACAAAACAGATCAGCACCATTCCACCACAACAATACATCCAGGGATCTTCCTGGACTTTCCCTCTTTTGATAGTCATGTCCCTGCCACTGGGAGCAGCTTTTCTCACATGTCAATGCCCAGCATCAGGGATGATGGATCTGAAGGAGCGGTTCTGAAACAGCCTGGTCAGAGTGGGCTCTGGAACGCAATGAGCTTCCTCTGTGCAGAGAACAGGCCAGGCCTAGGAGCAGGAGGAAATCACTGGAAACAATATGGGACTGAGTGTTCCTGCCTGTAGAAATCTTGTCCGATGGTGAAGAACTGATGAAAAGCATAAGCACAATGTATTTATTTTTATAGTGAACGTGAACACATAATCACACAAGTGCAGTAATTTAGGAAGTGCACTTTCCTGATAACTGAATAGCTCACATAGCAAAATGTTCACCCATTCTTAATAAATAAACTATATAAAGCCTCAAGATCCATTACCATAGTTCTAAAATTCATGCATTCTCTTTTAGGATTCTGTAGCCTCTTAAAGATTTTTAACATTTATTAGCTATAGAATGTTGACCAAATTATGTAATCTCTCTAATGTGTTTAAGTCTGCATAAAATGGGAATAATCACTATACTTACCTCAGAAACTGTAACATGTAGTGGAATTACATAAAGACCATTAGTCATCGTTAACATAATTTTGTAAAATTGTTAATTAACAGGGAAATTAAATGTTATAAATAGAAAAGCATTAAAATTTTGTGGTTTTAAAAGTCATTCCATTTTGGAATGATTTCATATAAAAACTGCCAAGATATTACAGTGCTTATGTACTTAACTTTGTTCCCCCTTTGATATCTTCTATAATTGTAGCACATTTGTCAAAGTTAAGAAATAAACATTGATATCTTATTATTGATTAGATTCCAGACTTACCTTCATAGTTTGAATGATGTTGTATTTTTAGAAGATCCCTTTTTTTTATATAGCCCCGAGCTTGACTATATCTAATGTTTTCTGATGATGATAACGTGGCCATGGGTTTTTGGAAAATATATCAAGGCATACAGTGTCCTTGTCAGCACTTTATATCATAAAGTATATTTTATCAGTATGACATCATTGGCAAAGTCAGTAGAGATTCTGATTTCTCAACTATGAAGTTACTATTTTTCCTCTTTAGTACTATTAAAAAGTAAGTTATCAAGTTCCATCAAACTTAAGGAAAAGAGAACTAAGCTCTACATATTGGAGCAGATTTTCTTTGTTTTAATCTTTTTTTTTTTTTTTTTTTCGGAACCAGGGATTGAACTCAGGCCCTTGCACTTGCCAGGGAAGCATTTATTCCACTGAGCCATCTTCCCGGCCCCTTCCGTGTTTTAATCTTCTGTAAATTTTTTTCTATCATCTTATTTATATATTTATTCTATTAGTATAGATTCATGTTCAATTTACATAGACACATCTATATTGTACTTTGGATTTCAATGTAATATTATTTTGTTGCTCAAATTGCTCTAGCTTTGGTTACTGGGAAAACACCATTGGTGCAAAAAATTGAAATGAACTGTAAGAGTGTCTTTTATAGTGTAGCTTTAATCACTGCAGTCAGTGGCACTGAGCGGAAAGAAATTTTGAATAGATTTTACAAGGGCAACTCTTAGTCACAGTGCACCAGAAAGCCTAGCAACAGGGACAGAGGAATGGCAGAGTGGGAAGTTCCTGGCCAGGCTCAGGGCCTTATGGAAGGCACCTGAACCCTTAGTGGACAGCTGATTTGCCTGTGCCTAATCACTTTGGAAACAGGTTTTGCGTCAACTGATGACAAGCTTGCATTTTAGACTATACTGTTTCAGAGATGCTGTCTATCTGCACAGATCAGAAATATCACATATACAATATATAATAGAAACTTGGACTTTTACCATACTTCATTGTAATATGGAGAAAACCAAAATTTTTACCAGTGGGACAATTGAAGAGATTAAGCCAACCTAGCAGTCCTACACGGGATCCACTCTCCTGAATTAATCAAGTCTGAAATAGGTCTTGTAAACAGCAAGAATGCTCTGTTTTTTATGAAAGAAAGAGGAGAACAAAAGGTAGAAAACACAGTGGATACCAGCAGAAAACTTTATACTGAACAATGTATTGCCAGGGGACAGAGCAGCCAAAATCAGCCCAATTCTCATAGAAACAACAGCGTGGTATTGTTTCATATGTACGGGATGCACAAAACTTCTAGATTTAGTCTGTATGGAATATGCCCCTTCACTACCCTTCATTCCATATGTCTTCATACAATCATGTTTTAAATGCCCCTAGAAAGATTCTTGACATGTTAAATACTGTGAAAATGACTTGACAAAAAGGCACTTGAAAAATAATTTGCACTACTTCTGTGTCCTTCTAGGGTATCAAAAGCTTTTTAATCTCATAGATGCTTAGCCATGAGGTGCCTCTACCAGAAGCTCTCTCTCCCTGTTCCTCTACAATTCCTCTCATTCTCTCTCTTTCTCCATCCCTCCAGCCCTTTCCTTCCCTCTGCTCCTCCACCAGAGGCCCCTATTAACCACTTAAGATTCAGATCACCGCTCAGTTTTTCCTAAAGTGTTACTAGACTCAGTCTTGTCTGCTCACGCTTACTCACACAACACAACTAGTGTGGTCCTCCGCCCTGTTCAATTATTGATGAATATCTCCTTACGTGAATGACATAACACTAAATCAAGGAATGTTTTCCAGTGCATTAAAAAGAGTCTTTTGTTTCTTGGAGATTTCAAAACATAACAGATATTTTGCTGAATATTGATAAACATTAATTCATAGTAATAAAATCACTTCAGGTATATGGCTTTAATAAGATGTTTACTAAGTTAGAAGTACTTTTTTTCTATGTAAGTTCAGCCTGACCCAAATTTCTCTAGGGCAGGTTGTCCATTTCTTTAAGAGGAAATTGAATGACAATTTAAGAGGTTAAATGAATTACATTTAATATCAGTGATATATTGGCTAAGTCTATAGCAGCCACTGGAAGTAAAATTCCCCCTAATCTAAAGTTAACTACCCATCTTTGTAAAGAGCCTAGGTATGTTGTAATGATTGCTGTTTCAGAATGAATTACTGCATTCCATTTGTATGTTGGCATACACTGATGAAATAGTCCTTTTCTGAACTGTTTAGGACCAGAAATATTTTTGAATTTTGGCTGCTTTCAGATGACAGTGAGATCTGTCAGGAATGAGAAAGAACCTGCAAACAAAATTTAGGTTTCTTAGATATAAACATACAGTAAGTAAGTAATCATTATGACATTCATAATGATTTTATACATGAAACAAAGTTTTGTCATAAAGACTGGGCCATTGATTGTTGCTCAAAAATTTCTTGAGTCATCTCCTATTTCAGATTTTTATACTATGGATGTTCAACCTAGTTTTATAAAAGTTAGCATTGTATCTGCTCATTTATGTCTACCTAAATGTCACTATCTACCAGCCCTCTCTTGCCCAGTCAATATAAAGTTGTATCCCAAATCCTCTTTGCCTGAGATTTCATACAGCTACAGGTTTCAGCATCTTACATCTCTCAGAAGACATAAAATGGGTTTCTGTACACTACTAATTGTTCTGATTAGTGTCTCAGCTCAGACGACCATTCTGGGCAAAGCAGTGCTGCTATTGGGCTTTGGTGCAACCCACAGTTATTTATTCTAGGATTCGTAGCTCCTGGACATGCTGCCAAGGAGAAAGCTAGCTTCTCTCCTGTCCTGGAAAGCCTTCCCAAGGTATGCACTCTACTCAGCTGTTGGAACCTGCATTCATCTCTGCTCATTTTTCTAGAAAAGCACCATCTCTTAGATTTCCTTAGACATACACAGTCTCTCTATAATGAGTCTGGTCATTTTCAAAAGGGAAGTGAAAATATTGATACTTGCTTATGTTTCCACTCTGAGGAAAGCCCACAAAGCAATGTAGGAACAAAGAATTAGTAAGCTGTATGTATGAAGCTGTATGTATGAAGGAAAGAAAACTTATGAGGGCTGCAAAAATTATCAGGATGATGAACATGATGATGATTATCTAAATAAAAATACTTATCACATTAATATTCATTATCTAAAATAGTAGAATAATTGCATTTGAGGTCAATGACAGTATCTTGAATATTTTGAAGAAGATTTGTAGCAATGTGTCTTTTACTGTAAAAACAAATTAAGTTTAAGCATTGACTATATATTTATCTCTCCTTGAATCAAATTGTAGTGAAACTAAAGACACTAGCAAAAAACCTTCCAGAACTGCATCAGAAAGAGACAAGAACCCCTGTGCATGGTGGTGTATGCCCATAATCCCAACATCTTGGAGGCCGAGCCAGAAAGACCACAGTGAGTATGAGGTGAACCTGAGACCAAAACCCTGTGTCTAAAAGAAAGTCTCAGAAGAAAGGAAGGAAGGAAGGAAGGAAGGAAGGAAGGAAGGAAGGAAGGAAGGAAAGAAAGAGAAAGAAAGAAAGAAAGAAAGAAAGAAAGAAAGAAAGAAAGAAAGAAAGAAAGAAGAAAAAAGAGAGCCAGGAGAAAGGAGAAAGGAATCAGAGATGAATAAGTATGTTCAAATGGAGGGGGTTAGTTTGAGAAGGATTAATGTTAATATAGCTCTTACTGCTTTAATTTTTAAAAATTTAAATATTAATCATATTTATTATCACATTGCATGTGCTTTTTTTTGAACATCACATCCTCCTGTAGGTGTCTTTCCCCGGGAGACATTGGACATCTTGATAGCAATAAATATGCCTTTTTAATTTCGATATTATGGTACCTAGCATAACCTTCAAACTGTGTCCCTTACCTGCGTGTAAAAAAAGGAAGAAGAGATAAAAAGAGGGATGAAAAGAAAGAGGGAAGGAGAAAGAAACAGCAACGAGGGCCTAGTGATGCCTGTGGCTCCTGGTAGCATGAGTGCCTAGCATGTATGATGCCCTGAGTTCCATCACCAGCACTAGAAAGGAGAAATTAAACAAACAAAAAAAGAAGGGGCAGGAATATTATTACATACATCAGTGCAAGTCTGCATCGAGCATAGATAGTATGCAAAGTGTTTTCCTTAATATTATTTATTTTAAAATGCATCAGATCTCCCAGCGCTCAGCGCTGAGACTTACTGTATATTTAAATGAGCGTGAGTCCCTGTAACTGCAGCGGATGTGAAGGCGTAGTCCAGGGCCCAAGTACCTTCCATAGGCGCAGTGCTTCCAGAAGAGCCTGAAGACGCACTTTGCTCATTGTGACTCCCAGCACGTAGTGCGTGACAACTGCGTTGGAAGACAGGCCTGCTCTGGAGGTGGCTCACCATCTGAGAAGCAGCCTTCCGTGGAGAGAGGAGCGGAGCCACTGGGATCCTCCTCAGGAGTAAACAGGCCAACGGGTGCTGGGGTAGGTGCTCTGCTACAACAGGAATCTGATTGTTCTCAAGTCTCAGCAGACAGCCAAAAGACTGAAGAGTAGCACGTGGAGGAAGCTGAAGCTCCTGCTCAGAGGCATCAGAGGATACAAAGCATGAGGAAGGATCCAACTGGAGAATAGAAATTAAAAACTAATGTGCCACCAGGTAGAGGGCTTTTGGAGGAGAGGTTTGAAAATAAGAGACAGAAACCAAAAGAAAGAGAAAGAAGGAAAGAAAGGTGATAGAGGGAGAAGGAAGGGAGAAAGCAAGGGGAAGGAGGGAGGTGGAAAGGGAGGGATAAAGGGGGAGTGCGAGGGAGGGAGGGCAGGTCAGTGCTCATCCACACAGGCTCAGGATGACACCTACTTATGACCTGCAGAGTGGCTTCATCTTGTGCAGATTACAGCTCTAGCATGGGCATTATCAATTTCTGTGGGGTCTTCCACTCCTTCAGCTAAAATCCAGATTAAAATCTGGAGATGAGGGCCCACATCTTTAATCTCAGCATTTCAGGAGGCTTAGGAAGAAAGACTGTGAGTCTAAACTCCACTTAGCTAATTTATTGACAGTGAGACCCTGTCTCAAAATCAAACATGGGTTGGGGATTTAGCTCAATGTAAGGCACTGAGTTCATTCCCCAGTATTCCAGTATCTCACACACCCTCCCCTCCTAAACTCCCCCCCACAGAGACTGAAACAAGCCTGGAAAATCAAGGGGAAGAGAGTTCAGCATTTCATGCCCTTTCTTCAGGTACAATGGCAGAGACAGCAACAATCCTTAGGAAGGAATCCCCAGCTCTGGCCAACTTCAGGCTGACTTGTACAATCCAATCTTACACTGACACCTGGAAAGTCTGCTGATTTTATGATCATTAACCATAAGGTGGAATATAGGCGTCTATCTTCTTTCTTTTTCCTTACTCCTCTTTCTCTTCCTTCCTTCCTTCCTTCCTTCCTTCCTTCCTTCCTTCCTTCCTTCCTTCCT